CAATCAGTGACAAATGCCATCAATTACGCAAAGATTGAAGTCAAGGTTATGGCATCCTCGCACCTAATTACGGTGCATTAAAGGAATTAATTTTAACGGATTTCAGGTTTTAAGTTCCTCGTGCTTTTGGCTCGTGCTGGGACTTACATTGTTATTTGTTATGATCTACTCACCATCACCTAATGATTGTATCAATATAATACTTTGCCGTTAGAATACAAAATTGATTCAATAAACTGTTCCACTGCTTGTTTCTAATTTCTCTTAAATTTCAGATTCTCTATACAAACCTTTTGAAGTATATCTCCTTAAAACATTTGGTCCTTCGAGCCGGATCTCGGCACGCAGCTGGAGGCATGAGACCTAGCCATATTGAGGCTCGATTAGAGCAGCAGCTCACTCTCAAGGATTTAATCTCAAACTCAGTCGAAAGTCTCGTCAGGATTGGTCAAGACAATATCAAGCCTCAACGAGCACGCGCTCGGTTATCCGCCCTTCATGAGGCTTGAGAGAAATTCTCTATTATACACGACGCAATATCTTTATCAATGACGAAAATCACTCAAGGAGAAAAGGTACTGTTACAAAAACATTCATACTTTTTGGACAACTCGTACTCAACTACGTATGAGTGTTATCTCGAAGCAATTGAACGAATGACAGTCTTTCTCGAGCATGATACGGAGAGTGTCACTGACACGCCTTCAACTCAGTCCTCATCGCAAATCATTAATACTCCTGTTTGCTTCCATCATGCTCGCCTTCCGTGAATTGATATCCCTAAATTCAACGGATCACCCTCTGAATGGCTCTCATTTAAGGACTTATTCAGCTCTCTTATCATAGCCAACCCCACATTGTCTGCAGTAGAAAAATTACAGTATCTTAAAACCAGTCTCATTGGATCAGCTTCCCATTTGGTAAAAAATACCTCTCTTACAGCCGAAAATTTTCAAAAGGCTTGGGATGCCTTGATTTCCTTTTATGAAAATAAACGATTTTTAATTCATTCAGCATTACATTCTCTTATGAATCTTAAACGCATGACTAAGGAGTCTGCCGCTGAATTGGAACAACTTTACACCAATATAACGCAAATTTACCGCACACTTGAAACTTTGGGAAGACCCGTCCAAACGTGGGATGATATCTTTGTTTTCATCGCTGTGCAACGTCTTGATGCTGAGTCAGTTAAAACATGGGAACATCTTTTAGGCTCGTCAAAGGAGCCCCCGACGTGGAGTCAATTTATCGAATTCTTACTCTCCCGCTTACTTTCGCTACAAGCCTTTGAGAAATCTCGTGCAGGAAAATCGTCAAATATAACACCTTCCACTTCTGGTAAATCTCACTTTCAAAGCCAAGCAAGGGAAGCTCAAGCGGCCAAAGGTACTTCCTGCATTTTGTGTTCGGCATCTCATTATATAGCAAGCTGCCCTCAATATCACTCGAAATCATTACAACAGAGGCAGACTTTGGTTCAAAAGAATAAACTCTGTTATAATTGTCTCGGACATCATAAAGTATCTGCTTGCCGGACAACCAAACGCTGTCTAAAATGTGGACAAAGGCACCATACCACGCTTCATCAGAAACCTCACTCTAATGCAAAACCATTCTCAGAACCATCAACATCGGAAAATTCCTCGGAAGCCAAGAAACCAGACAGTCACGCTCTTCATTCCTCCGTGAACCAGTGTTCCGTCAACTCTAACATTTTACTAGCAACCGCTCAAGTATTGGTTGTTACGAATGAAGGAGACAACGTTCAAGCAAGAATATTGATTGATCAGGGCTCTGAGCTTACACTGATTTCAGAACACCTGGTGCAATTGCTTCATCTACCCAGAAGGAATTCTTTCATATCTTTGATCGGAGTCGGAGGAAAAAGATCAAATCGAACTAAAGGTTTCACGTCTTTCAAAGTTAAATCGCGCTTTGACTCTACTACTGAAATTACCATGTCCGCGCACATTTTAGCAAGACTGACTTCCTCACTTCCTTCAGCTCAAGTTCCAGTTCAGAATTGGCCGCATTTAAAGGGATTGACCTTAGCTGATCATTGTTTTATGAATCCAGGTCCCGTTGATATAATCATCGGAGCCGATTTCTACTCTCAAATTATAGAAGATGGACTCATCAAAGGAGACGCTACCTCACCTATCGCTCAACGCACCAAGTTCGGATGGATTCTTTCTAGCCCCACAAACCTTAACAGCGATACAGCTTTGTCGCAGAGCTATCACATCTCTGTCGATAAAGATCTGTATGATCTTCTACAACAATTTTGGAAAGTTGAAGAAATAATCCCTTCTAATACATCACAACTGTCAGTTGATGAGCAACAATGCGAGCATCATTACCAAGAAACTCACTCTCGAGATGAAGAAGGACGATATATGGTTAGACTTCCTTTCAAACGTTCTCCGAACGAACTAGGAAATTCTCGTTTAAGAGCACTTCGCATAATGTATAGTCTATCCAAGAAATTCGCTGATGATCCTTCTTATGCAAAAGCTTATTCCGATTTTATGAGTGAATATCATAAACTTGATCACATGAGGCTAGTACCTGATCATCAATCGGAACCGGAGTTAGCTTACTATCTTCCTCATCATGGGGTTCTTCGAGAAACCAGTATGACCACAAGATTGAGAGTTGTTTTTAATGGATCAAATAAAACTACATCCGATATTTCCCTTAATGATATTCTATATACCGGAGCAAAGCTTCAGACTGATGTCTTTAACGTTCTAATTTGGTTCAGAAAATTTTTATACGTTTTCTCCACTGATATGGAAAAAATGTATCGACAAATTAAACTTCACAAAGATGACTGGACATTTCAATGGATTTTATGGCTCAATCGGGACGGGGATGTCGAAACCTATCAATTGACAACCGTAACTTACGGGCTCGCCTGTGCCCCCTTTCTGGCCTTACGGACTCTCGCACAGCTAATAGAAGATGAAGGAGATACCTTTCCTCTCGCTGTTCCATCTCTCAAGCAAGGAAGATACGTCGATGACATTTTCGGAGGTGCGGACACGATCCCTCAAGTCAAAGAAATCGTACGTCAAGTAAATTCCTTGTGCATGGCGGGAGGCTTCTCTCTCCAAAAATGGATAAGTAATGAGCCAGCGATTCTCGAAAGCATCCCCTCTGCAAGTCAAGCAAATTCTCCCTTCATCCAATTCAATCAATCCACCACCGTTCAAGTGTTGGGCCTTCAATGGAATCCGAAAACCGACTCTTTCCATTACTCAGTTGTTACATCTATTCCAACTAGCATTTCAAAACGAGATCCAGCCCCGATCGTGCGCCAACCACGGCGTCTGACGGGCTAACTCCTCGCCTGATTTCAACAGCGCTAACCACAGCGACACCGAAATCACCTCCCTGCGAAAACTCCAAACGAGCGCCTTCCACGGCGTCGAGGCCTCCGCACTCCCTCTCTCTTTTCCGATTTGCCGTACTCACCAACGTTCTTTCTGGGCGCAGATGCCACAGAAAAAACGTCCACGCGGCAAGCGAGGAGGGTGGCGCGTTCACTTGAAGAGGCTCCAACAGGAACTCTTCATCGAAGGGACATTTGACCCTTCCCGCCATTGGGAGGATAACACTGGGGAAGTTTACAAGCCTACCGCCGACGCGCCAACCACGGCGCCCGAAATCGCGAGCGCACCAAACGCAGCCCACACTTCCAAAGCCACAAAAACGGTCACCGCAACTCCGCCGCCGCGACCTAGGCCTCCGCAGTCTCCGCCACACATTGCGCCCGTGCGCAAGCCCACGAGGCCCATATTAATAACAAATAAACCTCGAGTAACTTCCAACACAACATGTTCTATTAATATTAAAATCATATAATCTAAATTACTTCTATTTTTATTTATCTGCCCTTAAGGCCTTCTTAAATCCTTCCAAGTCCTTCTCAACATAACGGAGAGTGTAGATAGAGAGATGCGAAATGAAGTCAACTGACGCATCCTCTAAACTCTCCACATTATTTTGTTGGAAGAACTCGGAAGGCCGATCACTTTGAAAATCAAACAATCAATTATCTCCGAAATTCGTGCTCGCATCTGAGCACTGGTGACAGCTGCCCGTTCTCAACGAAAGAAAACGCGTCAAAACACCGCGTAGAAGCTAAGGCTTCGCCCCGCGCGCCCCGCTCCGCACTCGCGTTCCCACAACTTGTGTCGCGTCTCGAGACCGCTAGAAACTCGCGCTCAGGACGTCACAAGGTAATATTATAAATTTTTATTTTTAGTGAAGAATTAGCTCCATAATTAAAATAGAAAATTTATTACTAAATTTTTATTCTAGTTTGGAAACTTTATCTTATAATTTTAATGATATTATATTGAACTGACAAGCAATTACGCATTGGTGGATACTATCATTTAATTAAATACGAACTATCGATTGAAATTTTAATTGACCAGAGGATATTAAATAATTGAACAATTACATTGTAACGTTAACCGACAAACTATTAGCGCACATAACTTATATTTTAATGTTAATTTACGAATGTAATACTGAAGATGGACATATTCAAGACCAAAACGTCTATTTTTTGTTAATGATATGGTTATTTTATTAATGTATATTACTTATGTCGATCTAATTAAAAATTTTTGTAAATTTTTTGTATTAGAAATATATATATTATTTTTCCTAACAAGATCTAGTGTGTGGCGAATGCTCAACCTTTTAAATTAGTTAATTACTCGTTAACCATTGCGACAACTGTAAAATGGTAGAGGACTTTTCTTCTCAGTTTAGTCCATTCTGTCCCTGTGCAAGACTTATCACTAATTTCCAAACAGCCTGTATATAAATATTATAAACATGTATAAACATGAATAAAAATATAATTATATACAATTGTATATGAAATATGTCCATACATGTCCATACATCCTTCCTTCTTTTGTGAAATTACTGTTATATTATTTAAAAAAAATAATAATTAGAAAATATAAATAATTGCAAGAATAATTTTCACATTGTTTTAGAAAAAATTATTTTACAAAAGAAAAAAGGATATATGAATATGTATGGACATATTTCATATAGAATTATACTATATAATTATATTTATGAATGTACCCAAATATTTCATAAACGATGCATTTTAGAAAAAAATGTTTCTTACAAAAGTTGTAAAGCTAAAAAAACGTATTCAGCGATAGTAGTTATTTGACCTAGGATGGCGTTGTCAAGGTCAGGTCAAGGTCAACATGAATTTTTTTAATGGAATTCCCCTTTTTTTATTACATATTCTTGTAGCTTATCTCTAGAGCTTTCCAAAACACTATAATTAAATTCATTTTCATTACGTACTTTACAAGTTATAAGGCTTGAAAGTTACAGTACCGTCGTCATTAGTATTGCCCAAGATGTCCGACCGACGGTTTCATTTTTGTACTGAAAATTCATTTTTATGTAAAAATGAAAATAAAAGAAGCAATCTCCAATGACCTCAATCTTAACAAATGTTATTCAGGATATGATCCTGAACAACATTCAAAAGGCTTTAGCCGTCTAAAAAATTCTGAAAAAATTCTTAAAAATTCTTAGAGCTCTATGAGAAGAATATAAACAATTTTTGTCTCTTGTAGTTTTTCTGTAAAGTTGATAGTATTTGAGTAAAAAATTACTGAAGGCCAATTTTCGGCAACTTTTAGCAATTAATATCTTGTGGCGACTCGCCACTAGAGATCCACGGGACTCACTCGGTTTCGCGTGAGCACCGCAGCGAATTCCCTTTAAATAAAACATTCTGGATTCATTCCAGGCGTCTAAGGCAAGTCCCACACTATATCGCCTTACTGATGAGACTAGTAGTGTGGAACCAGGACGAAACGCTGCGGCCGACCACAAAGCTTCGAGTCAGATCTTTTTAGTGGACATCCACAATCTGTTAACTATTGCAAAAATTACAAAATGGTAGAGGACTTTCTGTCTCAGTTTAATCCGCGTTACATGTCCACGAACTCCGTCAGAACAATGATTAGATACCCTATATATATTCGTGAATGAAAAATTGTTTACTGGGTATAAGTAATACGTACAGCCATAAAATAATGAATATTATTGAATAGCAAAATACAGTAGTGTGTGACAGCTCTTTATAAATGTAGAATAGTTCAATGCAACAATAAGTACATAATTATACGGTATGTGTGATACATTATTATTATCATACATTATTATTATTATATGTATGCAAAGTATTCATAAAATATTTATGTAATAAACTTCCGGATACAAAATCCCACATATTTTGAAGAAATTGTTCGAAAAGATAACCATTTAGCTGTAAATCCTCCTGTTACTGTTTACTGCATTTTCCTATCTACTTTTCTTTGCTTTGCTGTCGGAAATCTCATTAAATGATTATCATAGACTTCTTAATGTATTATACTGTATAATTACTTATTGTTGAATTGAACTATTCTACATTTAAAGAGAGCTGTCGCACTGTATTTTGCTATTAAATGATATTCATTATTTTATGACTGTACGTATTACTTATACTCAGTAAAAATTTTTTTGTTCACGAATATACAGGGTGAGTCCTAATATAATATACAGGGTGAGTCATTTTAATCTATGGAATATCTTCCATATTACGGTATCTACAAAAAAATGGTTTAGATAAAAGTCGACCAGGGCAGAGGGGGTCATTTAATTGCATTGGTTTTAACCTTGAGGTCAATTTTGAAGGTTATTTCAAGGTCACGATGGTTTTTTTAAATGGGACACCCTATTTTTGACTGCGGATTTCGAAAGAGCGGAAAATTTTACATCAAACTTGTCTTATGAAAAAATTGTTTTTGCGACCTTGGAAAGGTAAAAAATGAAGGTCAAATGCCTGAAAAACGATCTGATGTACTTTTTCTGAAATAACGTGGTTTTCTGGGTAACACAAATGTGCATAATACTTGAAAAAAGTCAATGAATTGTAAAAGTGTAAATCACTTTGACTAGCTTGACCTTGAGGTCAATTTTCAAGGTTGTTTGGGGCTTATAACGCATTTTTTTATTAGTAAACCCTATTTTTGACCGCAGAACCTGTTTTTTGACAATGGGCTCTTAAACAATGGCACTTTTTACATGAGCATAGGGATTTTTTAGCTCTTGGTTTGCGAGGTTTGCGCTGTGAGCAGAGGAAGTAGTTAGGCTTGTCACCGCCAGATGCCGTCGCAGAGCTCCCAGCTATGCGCACCTTATGTCCGCTGCTCCCGTAGTAGAAATGGATTTCCATTTAGACATAAGGCGTCTACCCGCCAAGTACAGATATTGCATAATGCTAATAATCAACGATTGAAAAAAACTAAACAATTACGTTTGATTTAAGTTTTATAATTATTGTTATAATAGAGATATTTTATTCCTTTTCTTTCTTACTCACTTCTGCATAATTGAAGAATTTAGTATTTAAAGTTGCTTCAATTTTAAAATTCCAAACATTATATGAAGGTAATTACATTCACAAGTTACCTTTCCGTTGATAGACACAGTTATTTATCGTTGCTAAGAGATCACTTATCAGGCTTATTAGAAGATGTTGACTTAGCAACAAGAGCAAGAATGTGGCTTCAACAAGATGGTGCTGCACCGCATTGTGCACTCATTGTACGTGCCTTTTTAAATGTCACTTACAATGACAGATGGATTGGACGAAGGGGTCCAGTTGAATGGCCTCCTTGCTCACCAGATCTGACGTCGCCTGATTTCTTTTTATGGGGATACTTGAAAAATGTTGTTTTTGCTGAACGACTAACCACAAGAGATGATTTTATGGACCGCATTCATAGAGCTTGTGCAGCCATTCCTAGAGTTACCCTGCTTAGAACTGTGGATAGTTTTCAAAACAGATTGCAGTTATGCCTCGAAGCCAACGGAGGTAATTTTGAACAATTACTCCGTGGGTAATTCATTTAAATTACAGTGTCAGTGAGAGGCAAGGGGACTCACGATAATCAAGCACCCCGACGTGAGAGGCAAGGGGACTCACGATAATCAAGCACCCCGACGTAAGAGGCAAGGGGACTCATGATAATCAAGCACCCCGACGTGAGAGGCAAGGGAACTCACGATAATCAAGCACCCTAAAGGAAACAGAACTTACTACGTCCACGTCGTAGTTTCCGGGTAACGCTAAAAGTAAGATGAAAGTGCTTTTGACCTAGATATGACCTTCAAAAGGTCAGGTCGAAAAACTAAAAAATCCCTATGCTCATATCAGTGCATATTGTTTAAGTGCCATTGTTTAAGAGCCCATTGTCAAAAAACAGGTTCTGCGGTCAAAAATAAGGTTTACTGATAAAAA